TTCATATACACTCCACTACCTACCCCTATCATGTTATACCTTCATATACACTCCACTACCTACCCCTATCATGTTATACATTCATATACACTCCACTACCTACCCCTATCATGTTATACTGTACCGTATTATATATTCAGATACACTCCACTACCTACCCCTACCATGTTATTTTGATCATTGTTTCTATATCCCCGGTTTTAAAAATATATTTGAAATGCATGCCCTACATTAAAACCCAATTTTTCCTTCAATTATAATTTCTCTTGGTATAAATGATAAGCTTTTAAAGCATTATGGTATAAAACTATTACAGTTCTATATAAAACACAATGTGGTGGTGTACTTACAGCCTCTGTTCTTCTGCAAGGAGAAAGGGCCACATGGCCGTCCTAGAGTCCGACATCTCTCTGTTCTCAGATCTGTTCAATTACAATCAACTTACTATAAGGTTAGGGTAATAGTGAACATCGATTCTGTAAATTATGTACCCTGTAACACTAAACAATTGCACTATAAGCAGAGCCATATACGCCCACAATAAATAAGAGGAGTTAATGTAATTCTTGTAAAAATTGACACATGTATGCCTAAAGGAAAAATCTGACAAGGACAGGACTAAAACTCTTGAAAAAATTTGCTGTAGTGTACTGATATTATGACATGCAAATTTTCAGATGATACCAGCTGGGACACATACAAATTTTCAGATGATACCGGCTGGGGCACCTACAAATTTTCAGATGATACCGGCTGGGACACCTACAAAATTTCAGATGATACCAGCTGGGTCACATACAAATTTTCAGATGATACCGGCTGGGACACCTAAAAATTTTCAGATGATACCGGCTGGGACACCTAAAAATTTTCAGATGATACCGGCTGGGTCCCCTACAAATTTTCAGATGATACCGGCTGGGACACCTAAAAATTTTCAGATGATACCGGCTGGGACACCTAAAAATTTTCAGATGATACCGGCTGGGACACCTAAAAATTTTCAGATGATACCGGCTGGGTCCCCTACAAATTTTCAGATGATACCGGCTGGGACACCAACAAATTTTCAGATGATACCGGCTGGGACACCTAAAAATTTTCAGATGATACCGGCTGGGACACCGACAAATTTTCAGATGATACCAGCTGGTACACATACAAAATTTCAGATGATACCAGCTGGGTCACATACAAATTTTCAGATGATACCAGCTCGCACACATACAAATTTTCAGATGATACCGGCTGGGACACCTAAAAATTTTCAGATGATACCGGCTGGGACACCTACAAAATTTCAGATGATACCAGCTGGGTCACATACAAATTTTCAGATGATACCGGCTGGGACACCTAAAAATTTTCAGATGATACCGGCTGGGACACCTAAAAATTTTCAGATGATACCGGCTGGGACACCTAAAAATTTTCAGATGATACCGGCTGGGACACCTAAAAATTTTCAGATGATACCGGCTGGGACACCTACAAAATTTCAGATGATACCGGCTGGGGCACCTACAAAATTTCAGATGATACCGGCTGGGGCACCTACAAAATTTCAGATGATACCGGCTGGGGCACCTACAAATTTTCAGATGATACCAGCTGGGACACATGCAAATTTTCAGATGATACCAGCTGGTACACATACAAAATTTCAGATGATACCAGCTTGGACACATACAAATTTTCAGATGATACCGGCTGGGACACCTAAAAATTTTCAGATGATACCGGCTGGGACACCTAAAAATTTTCAGATGATACCGGCTGGGTCCCCTACAAATTTTCAGATGATACCGGCTGGGACACCTAAAAATTTTCAGATGATACCGGCTGGGACACCAACAAATTTTCAGATGATACCGGCTGGGTCACCTACAAATTTTCAGATGATACCAGCTGGGACACATACAAAATTTCATAATAAAAACATTTAGTCAGATTCATGAACCAAAGTCATATTCTCTTCTCTAAAATGTGAAAGTACATTTTTTACCAACTGGAGTTTTCTGACTTTGTGTTAGACAGATATCACTGTTTATGAATAATTTTCGAAGACTTGTACTTACAAATATATCTCGTTGAAGTAAAGCTTCTTCGCCACACATAAACCCCAGAATGCAGTAGCACCTAGCAAGATGCGAGTACCTATAACACACACAAAAATATTTGACCAGTCATGCACCATATGTAAACTTTTCTATTTCATGGTAGCATAATCTTCTTGATGTTTTTGCTGGACTTCATTACAGGTATATATTGTAAGTGTAAAATTCTTTGTTTTTGAGATCTCTAATTTTCATGGCCATNCCCCCCCCCCCCTGCAAAAATCCAAACAATATTGATAACCCTGCAAAAACTTAAACCCATTGAATTAAATAAACAAGAGGCCTAGAGGGCCTGTATCACTCACCTGAATACCACTATATGCCAAGCATTTGTATATAGTTCTGGGGTGGGGATCTCAACCGTTTCAAAGTTATAACCCAGGGACTATGTCTCTAAGGGTGGGGCCAGACCATAGGCCATCCTGGAAGCAAATGTGCATGCTTCTCTTTATACTCCAAGAAATAAACTTTCTTTGGCTCAACCCCTGGTCGGCCCCACCATTTGTACAATTTTGAATCCCTGCCTCCCATGAATGCTTCTGACCACATATGATCGATATCCAGGGCATAATTCTACAGAAAAAGTTGTTTATAGCAATATAGCCAAATTGCCCCCCTTTCGCCCAACCCCTCAGCCCCCTGGGGGGTCATCCCAACCATTTGTACAATTTTGTATCCCCACCACCTAGGGATGCTTCCAGTCAAATATGGTTGATATCCAGTGCAGAGTTCTACAGAAGAAGTCGTTTGTAGCAATATAGCCAAATTGCCCCCTTTTGGCCCCACCCCTCAGGCCCCTCAGGGGCCAGACCCCTGGTTTATACAAAATTGGATGCTTCAGACCAAATATGGAACAAATCCTTTCATTCTTACAGAAGAAGGATTTTAAAAATTTGCTTTATTTCCCCTATTGGGCTTCGCCCCTCAGCCCCCAGGGTGGCCAGACCCACGGTTTATACAAAATTGGTTCCCCTTTACCCAAGGATGCTTCAGACCAAATATGGAACAAATCCTTTCATTCCTACAGAAGGAGAAGGATTTTAAAGAATTTGCTATATTTCCCCTATTGGGCCCCGACCCTCTGGACCCTCGGGGGCCAGACCCACGGTTTATACAAAATTTGGTTTCACCTAAAGATGCTTCTGACCAAATTTGGTCAAAATCTGGTCAGTCGTTTATGACAAGAAGCGATTTTTAGGAAAAGTTGACGGATGACGGACGCCAGGCGCCGCACCATGGCATAAGCTCACTTGCCCTTTGGGCAGGTGAGCTAAAAACAAAGCAACAATACAGTACTTAAATAAAATTATGTTTATGTCACTATTTGTACAGCAAAATGAAAAAAAACCAAGAGGCCCAATGGGCCTGCATCGCTCACCTGGTATTAATCTCATACTTGTAATCTTAAAAGTGGACTAAAATACAGCTACAGGCAGAATATCAGTGTTTGATTCATAAGAACCTATTAAAAGATTTAAACATATGATGCCTGTGACCTTGAATATCGAACAAGGACATCAGGTTGAAAGTGGATCAAGGTCATTCATTTGAACAAACTTGGTAGGCCTTCATCCCAGCATGCTACAGGCCTAATTTCAGAACCCTGGGCCTTTTGGTTATTGAGAAGTTGTTTTAAGATTTTAAAACATTTGACCCCTGTGACCTTGAAAATTGGTCAAGGTCATTCATTTTAACAAACTTGGAAGGCCTTCATCCCAGCATGCTACAGGCCCAATATCAGTACCCTGGGCCTTTTGGTTATTGAGAAGAAGTCGTTTGAAGATTTTACGACATCTGACCCCAGTGACCTTGAAAGTGGGTCATGGTCATTCATTTGAACAAACTTGGTAGCCCTTCATCCCATCATGGTACAGGCCTAATATCAGTACCCTGGGCCTTTCGGTTATTGAGAAGAAGTTGTTTGAAGATTTTAAGACATCTGACCCCAGTGACCTTGAAAGTGGGTCACGGTCATTCATTTGAACAAACTTGGAAGCCCTTCATCCCAGAATGCTACAGGCCTTATATCAGTACCCTGGACCTTTCGGTTATTGAGAAGAAGTTGTTTGAAGATTTTAAGACATCTGACCCCTGTGACCTTGAAAGTTTCAAGGTCATTTATTTGAACAAACTTTGTAGCCCTTCATCCCAGCATGCTACAGGCCCAATATCAGTACCCTGCTCGTCCCTGGGCCTTTTGGTTATTGAGAAGTAGTTGTTTAAAGTAAAAAGTTGACGTTCGGGCAGGTGAGCTAAAAATTGGGGTTGTCCCAGTGGCACACTGCTCAGGACTATCTAGAGCGGTCATTCATTAATGCATGACCACCAGTATACTATGAAGGCCGATGTTGGTGTGAGGTTAGCGCCCCCCTATATGTAGACCGATGTTGGTGTGAGGTTAGTGCCCCACTTGCTTGTCCCACTAATATGTTTTAGGGTTTCCTGTTATATCTCTCCAGTGCTTCGGTAGCTGTGATCGCTAAGGCACAGTCATTGTACTATGTGCAATCAGGCGTGAGCTTGCTTCAGACCACTCGCTCTCCCAAGAATTTTGGTTCACTCCCCAGCGGTGGCAGAAAAAAGAGAGTGATGTCTGATAGGGTTAGTTGTTATCCGTCCAATGGCACAGTGGTTTTCCCTCTATCACGAAAACATCATTTATTCCATTAGCGGCATAAAAGCTCTACAGAGCTTATCTTTGTTGTTGACAATTGTACACAACTTTAGATAGATATTATTATTGTAACAGGAGTGGAAAAATGCACAGGTCGGCCAGACCAGGGTTCGAACCCGGGACCTTCAAACTCTAGACGGATGCTCTACCAATTGAGGTACCTGGTCGCCGACGATCGACCCAGTCCAGTTCCGCTACATTCCTCCCTCCTTTTTCTAAGTCTTCGCCCCCGAAGACCCAACTAGTTACAACCAAGGTTTGGTTATCCCCTTGCCAAGTGTACACTAAATGCTTGAAACAAGGGTTGGTCACAGGCACCACTTTAACGTACAGGAGAGGAAAAATGCACGGCAGGACAGGGGTTCGAACCTGGGACCTTCCAAACTCTTCATGGATGCTCTACCAATTGAGCTACCTGGTCACTGACGATCGACTCAGTCCAGTTCCGCTACATAATTATTATTAGTGACAAGATGGTTCTCTCTGTGTATTAAGGCTTCCTCCATCACTGAAAAGTTGGCCTCCTGTTACTCTTACCATGGTGATGATGGGTCAGAGGATCAGATCGGTAGTGGTGGTTGGGTGGGGTGTCAGGGAGGTCTGCCTTATCACCTCAATAATATATTAAGGGTCCTCCATTGAAGGAGGGTGAGACTCCTATTACAAACATGGCAGTAATATAGTAGGTGGGAAAGACTATTTCAAATTTTTACATGTTTACATACCAAATTGACAGAACAGCCGTCAGTGTTTACTCTTGTTACCTAACACTGACAGTGTTTTCTTTACCTAAATCTTACAACAGCCTGCTCTTTTATGAATTAGGAAAACATAGCATTATTTGTTTTGAAATTGGGAATATATTCCTCAATTTTTGGTCATTTTGGGTAGGGAAACAGCCTGTATTCGGCAAGACATGTGGTATGCGATCAGCAATGCTTATTTGATCGAAGGACCGAAAGTGGACCCTCCAATAGCCTTCTTGACCCCCAGCCTCCCAATTATAACTTAATGAAACCTGAAGAAACTATGTACATATTTTAGCCTTCTCCCTGGTGAAAAATTAAGTTAGAGAACCTTGGCAAGCATCATTCTAGCCCCATGTTATAGGCCTACACACGAGAAAAATATTACATATCCCTTGCAACAACATTTGACAGGCTCTACTATCATTGAGTGTAAATCTAAAATATGACTGCAACTAAGTCAAGGACAAGTTAGTGCAAGGTGTTGAGAATGTCAATAGCGACTGACCAAGGTGAAAACGTATGGGTACTTTCAGTACCTTTTTGATAGATATCGATCTCTGGTATTAACGAAAGACATAATTTCTTTTGAAAGATTACCTGACAATGCTCTTGGTATTCTCTGTTTCCAATCAATTGGCCCATAGCCACCTTTCGGTGGCATTTCTTGCTTGATGGAAGCAGCCATATTGCCGATGAGGTCACAGGGGAGACCACTCCTGACAGCGATATGGTAGAACACCATCAAAACAGCGTACGCGTGTCACATAGTGAAAAATAGTTCCAATTTTTTGAATATTTAAAAAATCGATTTATCAATATTTCGTATCCATTTAAAAAGAAATAATATTTAAGAAGAGGCCCAGAGGGCCTGTATCGCTCTCCTGGATATCTAAGCAATCATAGCAAAATATTCTCCAAAAGAGATCCAAAGGAATATGCCAGACCACAAGGCCAATTCTTGTAGTATGTCTGTATTAGATTTTTCATGCCCAGCAATTTAATGTATGGTTATGGGGTGGGGATCTTAACTGTTTCCAAGCTGTGACCCGGAAACTAGATCCCTAGGGTTATGGCCAGACCCCAGGATCAATTCTAATATCATGAATGCATTCGTCTCTTCATGCCCAACAATTGTATATATAGTTTTGGGGTGGGGATCTTAAACATTTCGAAGTCATCACCCAGGGGTTAAGTCTCCAAAGATGGGGCAAACCCCAAGGGTATCCTGGAAAAATATGTGCATTCATCTCTTTATACATTTATGTACTCAGCAATTGTATATATGCATTGTTATAGGGTGGGGATCTCAACTGTTTCCAAGCTGTGACTAAGAAACTAGGTCCCTAGGGGTTCGGTCAGACCCCAGGGTCTATTCTAATACCATGACTACAGAGAAGAAGTTGCTTAAATCAATATCGCCCAAAAGCCCAATTGCCCTCTTTTGGCCCCGCCCCTCAGGTCCCTGGGGGGCTAGACCCACGGTTTGTACAAAATTGGGTCCCCTTCACCCAAGGATGCTTCAGACCAAATATGGAACAAATCCTTTCATTCCTACAGAAGAAGAAAGATTTTAAAGAATTTGCTATATTTCCCCTATTTGGCGCCGCCCCTCAGGCCCCTTAGTGGCCAGACCCCTGGTTTATACAAAATTGGTTCCCCTTTACCTAAGGATGCTTCAGACTAAATATGGAACAAATCCTTTCATTCCTACAGAAGAAGAAGAAGAATTTTAAAGGATTTACTATGTGTTCCTTATTTGGACCTGCCCCTCAGGCCCCTCTGGGGCCAGACCCCCGGTTTATACAAAATTGGTTCCCCTTCCCCCAAGGATGCTTCAAACCAAATATGGAACAAATCCTTTCATTCCTACAGAAGAAGAAGGATTTTAATGAATTTGCTTTATTTCCCCTATTGGGCCCCGCCCCGCAGGGGCCAGACCCCCGGTTTATACAAAATGGTTCCCCTTCACCTTAAGATGCTTCTGATCAAATTTGGTCAAAATCTGCTCAGTCGTTTATGACAAGTAGCGATTTTTAGGAAAAGTTGACGGACGACGGATGCCGCGCCATAATTAACTGTTCAGCAAAAACTGCCGAGTATGTTCCATACCAGTTTATCAAAGGAGTACAAGAAATACAAATTACGAGAAGGACTTCATGCAAACCTGTTGAGTCAGTAAGACACCAAGAACATGAGTGTATTCTTTATGTCTAGCATCTTTGTAAATGGTTATGGCATGGGGATCTCAACTGTTTACAATCTTTTACCCAAGGAGGCAGTCTCCAGGAGTTGGTCTGGACCTCCGGCCAATCCTGGAAGCATGAATAATTTCTTCTCTTCATGCCTAGCAATTGTATATTTGGTTATAGGGTGAGGATAAAATCCCTTCTTCTTTGGAAGGAGAAATTTCAAATATTAAGCTCTATCTCCCCTATTAGGCCCCAACCTCTTTCGGGCTCACCCTCCATTTATACAAAATTTAGTTGTATTTGCCTGCTGGTTCTCTTGACCAAAATTGGTTAAAATCCCTCAATTAGTAATGGAGAACGATTTTGAAAATGGTTTCCTTAATTTACAATAATGGGCCCCATCTCTCTGCCAAAATGGGGACCACAACCTCCATTTATGCAAAATCAAGTCTCCTTTGCCTACAGATGATCTATAACGAATTGGTGATAATCCCTGTATTCACACAGAAGGAGAAAGCTTATAAAAGATTTACCTCTATTTCCCCTATTGGGCCCCAACCCTCAGCCCCAAAGGGGGACCTAACCTCAGTTGGGGACCCAAAAATGAGTCCTCTTACCCGAAGGATGCTCCAGACCATATTTGATTTAAGTCCCTTGATTTGTACAAAAGGTTCCCTCTGCCCCCAGAGGGGTCACACATCCCGTTATACAAATTTGATGCCCCTTTGTCCAAAGATGCTCTAGAATAAATTTGGTCAAAATCCCTCTATTGGTTGAAAAAAAAGAAGATTTTTGAAGATTTACCGGTTTTCCCCCTATTTAGTCCCGCCCCTCTGCCCCCTGGGGGGCCATACTCTTCGTTTATACAGAATTTAGAACCCTTTGGCCAACGATACTCCAGACAAAATTTTGTCAAATCCACTGTGCCGTTAAGGACTAGTAGCATTTTAAAGCGAAAAGTTGACGGACGAATGCACACATTCTTCCTTTCCATAACAATTGATTACCAGGTTAAAAGGACCAAGATGCCTATGGAACCCTTTCAGAGAGGAAATGCATTATAACATATATATAGAGTATGTGTCCTTAAAACAAAACAAACTCTGGACTCTCTTTCTTACCTTTATTGTGAATACATGAAATGGTCAACCAATGTTTTATGAAAAGTTTGAAACCTTGCATCATACTTAGGATACATGTTATACTTAGGATACATGTTATACTTAGGATACATGTTATACACTTATATATAAGTGTTGAAATTTGTAACTGTAAGAGCTTGCTGAGACGGATACGTATTGAAATTTGTAACCGTAAGAGCTTGCTGAGACGGATACGTGTTGAAATTTGTAACTGTAAGAGCTTGCTGAGACGGATACGTGTTGAAATTTGTAACTGTAAGAGCTTGCTGAGAAGGATACCAGAGATAATTTAAGGAGATAATTATGAGCTGGAGGTTTCAGATAAGCAGTTAGACATCATAATTTTAAAACAATTTTTCAATTTATTTTACCATAATACAGTTTATACAAAGACCGAAAGCCCTCTTTAATAAAAAGACAGAAAGCCCTCTTTAGTAAAAAGACAGAAAGCCCTCTTTAATCAATAATACTATCTCCTCAGTTGTCATTTAATTGTCAACCAAATATTTAAAGCAAGAAATTCATTGACTGAATATATTAAACTAAAAAATAAAGATAAAGCAAAACTGACTAGTGTTTGTATACCCTTACTGCCGCCGCTTACTTTAAATGACAAATAGGATGCACTAAGCCACAAAAATCTGGCTATCTTACTATTTGTGTAATGAACATAATCTTAATGATAATTATCTGAATTAAAGAGATATCTTAGAATACTCACATGATACAAAGATAATAGCAGCAATGACACTTCCCAGAGACAGTAGCAGTTAGCAGATTTTTCAGAGATCCGAGTTAATCTGGACAATCTTGGTCCTCGTATCTAAACTAAAATGAACCAAGGTTTACAGGTCTGTTTACAGGGGGTTGGGGACACAAGGCCTGATTTCAGTGTGCAACACTCCAAGAGGTATTCGTAAACGGAATTTGGCAATTGTAAGCGAGATATGAGGTGTGCCCAGACAAAGTGAACAAAGGCCCATAACTCTGTAAGCAGTATCACACAAGGACTAATTTCGACAACATCTTGCCAAGAGGGGTTCATATACAGAATATGGCAGTTGTAGGCGACAGAGTAGGTGTGATTTGCCCTCGACTAAATGACTCGTACACTGAATGATGGACAAAAGGATTGAATGCAAATCCCATATACTGATACACTGTACCAGGATATTTTACCCAGTCAAAGTCGACGCCCTTCAATGTTTTAAATCCATTTTCGCCCAATATCAAATTTGCCCTTCACATTTAATCACTATTTGTAGCATGTTGTTCACAGATGTTTTCTGTGTTGATATATTTGCCCTCATTAAAGGGGGCAAAAAAGGTGAAAAATGATCGGTATACAGTAACTAAAATTATCGATATATAAAGGGGTTTAATTTTTTTAAATATTTTGTAAATTCACAGTATTTATCAGTTTAGTAGGGCATAACCTACTGTAAGAAACCATGTTATTATAAGTGAATCATGTCATGACATTATGACTGGCATAGTAACAACAACAATGAATTCTCTACTGTTTTCTAGTCAGCACCTGGCTAACATTTCTTACAGCCACTTTTATATACAGACACTAGGTTCCAGGAACATCAAAAGTTAAGATCTAAGCCTAACTTGATTTGTTTTATGTTCAATATGAAGCGAGTTTACATACATGGTTTACATACATTTACATGTATGTAGTTTATATATATACGAACTAATTCACCAAATTTAGACCAAATTCAAAGAGAAATTAAATACGTTAACATCTAGAATTGCACTTAAATCTACAGTTGTTTCAAGTTCCAGGGGCCTGATACAGGTAACTTAACAGTATGTAACCATAATGTACATATTTCTATTGAAAGTATAAACATTGGAATGAATAAAGAAAGTACTTTCTCTTCTGATGCATCAACATGAGTCTTGAAAAAATTACAACAAATAAAATTTAACATGAAGGTGTTTATGTCACAAACTTCACAAAGCTGCTGAAAACATGTACAATGCTGTTTCCAGCTGTGACTATACATGAATGCAGTAAATCAACGTTCACATACAACATTACTTTATACAGTCAATGAATTTAGGATATCTCACTTTAATCAATTTCCACAATAAACAACAAGAAAGTATCTATACATGTACAAGTAGTACAAATAAAAAAAATATTCTAACAATTGTAAGGACCGCACAGATATCCCCCAGACTGGATGTAATTTATCTCACGCAGTACATATACAAACATATTTCCTCAACAAGATTTCTAGGTTTACAAATGATGCAGATATACCAGATAAATATATCAGTCAATGTCCAACAAGATGCCGAATATGACGGGGTTGTACACATCGGTCATTGGTTATATGTATAAAATGTACGATATTTCTATATCAACTATGTATACTGTAAATATTGTAATTTCACTAACATCACAATTGACCTTTGTATAATTTAACTTGCATCACCTTTCACTGTAATATAATTTTATTTACATTGAAATTCAACAAAGTTGAATTTCACTCACATCTAGTTTCACCATAGAATAATTTCATCTACAACACCTAATTTTTACTCAAGTAATATTTCACCTTGTATAATTTCACTCACGTAATATTTCACCATGTATAATTTCACTCACGTAATATTTCACCATGTATAATTTCACTCACGTAATATTTCACCATGTATAATTACACTCACATAACATTTCACCCTGTATAATTTCACTCACATAACATTTCACCATGTATCAATTGACTCACATAACATTTCACTATGTATTAATTCACTCGCGTAACATTTCACCCTGTATCGATTCACTCGCATCAAGTTTACCATGTAAACATGTCAACTCTCAGGATCTGAGCGTGAGTCTTACAATCTCGACTCATTATCCCATGTAATCAAGGTCTCGTGCTCTTGGTACTAAAATCTCATGCTTTATGTAGCTCCATTTTTTTTTTAAAGTTAGTATAATAATTTTTGTTATAATCAATTAGTTAGTTTCACACAAATTCTGTTTCACCATGATATAATTTCACTTCCATCACAAACCACTTTTGTCGACTTAACTCTTTACACCTTTGTACTTGATATTGTTGTGCATAGTAAATGTGTTGTACATAACCTTCCATTTCCACAACCATCCGTGTTCTTATGTTACTTATATATGAAGGTGAGGCTGTTTTTGTGACCTAGTAAAAAGTATGGTACCGTGATTACATTTATATTGCACTGACCCTTAATTGAACCATGAATTATCTGTACAACAAGTAAATACACAGACAACCATTAATTAAACTGTTTCTGAAAAGTATTGCCAAAAAGATTTTAACAGAATGAACCACATTAAGACTCTTAAATAATGTACCATACAGCAAATTTACAAATAAAATAGATAAATATATGGCTACACTAAGAAACTAATGGACTAACATGTATGTTAAAAAGATCAGTACAGATTCGACAGAAAAGGAAAAGGAAGGAGCAGACTGGGGCAAACCCGAGACCTCAGAAATCTAAACAGACGCTCTAAACAACTCGGGTACCTGGTCACAGGCAATCAAGACCATTCAATTCCACAACACAGCTACCAGATAATCACAAACAACGGGATTTGTACGGAATGTAAATTTGACTTTTGTATTACAATTCTTATAGGAAATTAAATATAAATATTAATTTACAAATAACTGACATTATTTACATGAATTTAAGACTGACTATTTTTGGTCTTAGTGAACCAACATCACAAGACACCCATCAGCAGTTATAACAACCTACAAAACCCACTAAAACATGGCGGTGGTCACGTTTTACACAGATTGCATGTGCCCCAAATTTCTTTATTCATATTTCCATTATACACAAGTCTCCCTCAACAATATGTTCCGAGAAGTAATAATTTTCAACACTTTACATACATAAATCGAAACATGTCAATGTTGCTCCAATGAATTCCGACGTTTGGAAGAGATTTGCCGTGTTGTTCCCACTTTTTCCTGGATTTTCTTTCACCAGCATGAACTCTGTATAACTTCTTAATATCCACTGTATAATCGACAAAGATATAGAAGATACATCACTTATCTAGGATGATGTGTCTCCACCCTTCTGTGACTCCACACACACGTTTATCCTGGGTAGGTGTTTCTGTCCTGTTCACGTCTTCTCCTTAATCACAGATTATCATCAGACTAGGACAATTATAATGTGCACACTTACAGGAATATATATTAACAGATTTTATAACAAAACGTAATTGTTCAAGAGAGTATTTTTGTTGATTCATTTTCTCCAGGGCCACTTTCTTTTATCACAATCCAAACGGTTGGACCAGAGTTGTTCGTTTATGAAATAAGGTCAGACCTAGTTATCAGGTGCTGTTTTCAGGCGAGCCTTGACAAAACCTTGCAAGGCCTGCATAAACATTCCCATGTTCGCAATAATTTACACCCAAAAATGTTGCATTTAAAAACAGGCAAACCTGTTGTTCCACATAAACGAACAGGCCCCAGATGTCAGGTCAGCAAATCTGTTTTATGAGGATATAAATAATTGTAATGGTAACATTGTTTTTGATATTTGTGTAAACCACTAATCGTTGATCACCACTGATCACATTAATGGTAACATTGTTTTTGATATTTGTGTAAACCACTAATCGTTGATCACCACTGTCTTGACCTTCCCTCTGACCGGCTTGATGGCTGACCTCCAACGGCCTGGGATACCTCGTCTAAAAAGCTGGAAAATAACAATATCTGGAATTATGTTTTGTTTCAAAAGATATTTAGATAAGTTTCAATACAAGCCAAGTGGGCATAGAAATTCTAAATACAAATTACCTAAACATGGAAAATCAGGAAAAAAATTGAGTTGGACACGTTTTGCAGCTGCATTTTTCAAGGACACTTTGCCAGGGAAATGCATACAGTGTATTGGGATGTGATCCCCATAGTTTATCGTTTGCTGAACATAACAATTGACATGATTATCATATCAGTAAAAGGTACACATCATACTTATACAAAGGAGATGATGTTAATACTTGAAGAGAATTAATTTTACCGGAAAATAGCAAATAGTGGGGTTCTTTACTATGTGGAAGTTTTTTTGTATAGAGTATGTCTACTGGTCCTTGAACATGTGTTGTTTTGATATAAAACAATCATATTCTACACATCTAAACCAAGAATTGACCAAATGGATTAATAACAGTCTTGAAACAATTTTCATAGAAGTACATGTGATTCATTCAGCTGGAACAGATTAGTAAGATTAGCACCTCAAAATCATGAAAGCTGTGATAATCGCTTTAGACATACCTTTTAAAGTTGTGTACGGTGGTTCCCCCAAGGACGATCCTCACCCCAGGACTTGATCTATTTAGGGTGTGGACGGCTAAAGCCTCCTCATAAGTTGCTCCACCTATCATAAACACCACAATGTCCTGGGGCCTGAAAAAGGGAGATAACCTTAAACTCCTTCATAACATGGAGCCTGAAAAAATCCTATAGTTATCTAAAACACCGAAAAAGTGTGGAGCATGTTATATAGGGAGAATAACTTTCAGCTCACACATAAACGGGACCTGCAGGAAAGAGCAGGAAACATTGTTTGCTCAAGATCTTTGGGGATGTAAAATTTAGCATAAAGAAATATATAGAAATCAAATCAGTTTACAAACAAAGCAGTTTATGGTAGGTATACATACTTATCTCTTAATTGACCTGTGCCCAAATAAGGATAGGCTCCCTCCTTGAGCTTGCCCTTGATCAGCTGGTCAAGGATGCTGTACATCAGAGGCTTATGTTGTGTATAAACATTCTCCACTCCCTGAATAATCAAAAGATGTACTCAGTAAAATCTATTCCAATTTTACAGGGAACAGAATCACTGAATTAAGAAAATGACACATCATGAACTTTGATAGGGATTTATTTTGGACTCGGTTTACCTTTAAACCCTTGAGGAAGCGTTTGGTGATGGCAACTGGGTCCTGATTACCAAACAGATCACTGCCACGGGCCTTCCTCCCCCCGTACTGTAACACTGCATGTACCATCTGTCAGAACAGAAATAAATCATTTTTTATTGTATTCAATGTCATGTCACAATAATGTCTAACTTACAATCTTTATGTCCTCAATATATTTGTAAGACATAGCAATTTCAAATTTCTGCCAAAATGTTTAGAGTATCTGGCTTTGTCCGTTTCCCTTACTAGACAAGCCGTCTGTAATTTAACATACCGATCGGTGTTTTTCGCTGAGACCTTTCCTGCGTAGAGCCTCGACCAAGCCTGACACGTCATTGTTGCTATGACTCTCATAACGTAGGGCATACAGCATCACCAGACGCAGCATGTCCAGCTGGGGCGTCTTGTCTCCATTAAGCAGACCCTTAATTTTCTACAAAACAGATCACAGGAAAATAACTGTAAATGAGTTATTTGGATACTTTTGACATTATAGGTATACCAGAAAAGTTGGTCAATAATTAGTTAAAAGAATATATATCAACTCTCAAAAATAATATCAGGATTTTTTCAATCAAAATGAATTATAACTGGATATTTTAAATGAAATTTTGACCTATGATCTTACATGCAAACAAATACATACCAATCAACTTTTACAAATGACCTTTCATAAATACAAATGGATACCAATTACACAATTAAAGAGGAATGGAAATGACCCTTCATGTATACAAATGCACATACCCATTAACTTAGGCCTATGATGTTTAGTTTATATGTATATATACACACTCATTCACATTGACCTATGACCTTTCATGTATACAAATGAATACTGATTGACCTGTGTCTATGACCTTTGATAACCCATCATTGACCATACATACAATTATCCATTGATGTTGACCCATCACCTCTCATGCATACAAATATATAAACATACCCATCAACCTTGACTTACGATCAGACGTGTATAGGTTGATAAACCTAGGAATAACGCCTGATAATTACTATAAAAAAGAGGCCCACAGGGCCTGAATCTCTCACCTGGATATCTAAGCAATCATGGCAAAATATTCTCCAAATGAGATTCAAGGGAATATGCCAAACACCAACGCCAATTCTTGTAGTATGTCTGTATTAGATTTTTCATGCCCAGCAATTTAATGTATGGTTATGGGGTGGGGATCTCAACTGTTTCCCAGATGTGACCCCTGGATCAATTCTAATATCATGACTGCATTCGTCTCTTTTTGTGCAGCATTTGTATTTATAGTCATGGGGTGGGGATCCCAACCGTTTCAAAGTTATGACCCAGGGATTAAGTCTGCAAGGGTGGGGCATACCCCAAGGCCATCCTGAAAGCATATGTGCATTCATCTCTTTATACTCAGCAATTGTATATATGCATGGTTATAGGGTGGGGATCTCAACTGTTTCCAAGCTGTGACTAAGAAACTAGGTCCCTAGGGGTTCGGTCAGACCCCAGGGTCTATTCTAATACCATGACTACCTTTGTCTCTTTGTGCCAAGCATTTGTATATGTAGTTCTGGGGTGGGGATCTCAACCGTTTCAGAGTTATGACCCAGGGACTATGTCTCAAAGGGTGAGGCCAGACCCTAGGCCATCCTGGAAGCAAATGTGCATGCTTCGCTTTATACTCCACAATTGTATATATGGTTATACTGTGGGGATCTCAACCATTTCCAAGTAATAAACCTTTTTTTGGCCCCACCATTTGTACAATTTTGAATCCCTGCCTCTCATGAATGCTTCTGACCAAATATGATCGATAACCATGGCATAATTCTACAGAAGAAGTTGTTAATAGCAATATAGACAAATTGCCCCCTTTTGGACGAGAGGGCAAATTTAACACAGGCAAGCAGTATTACATAGAGTTAGCAGCACAAGTAGATATAAGTGGGGGGATTCAACATTGGCTGCATTTGTTTTAAACCAGATCCTTGACCTCTGACCTGGTGGGCGGTGATCTTACCTGTTAACCTCTGACCTTACCTGTAGACAAGCTGAGTGATCCCCCTGACATGCCAGCTCCTGCTCTGTTTCAGACACCTCAAGGAGGTTGATCTTACTGACCAGCCTGGAGAGCTCTCCCACCACTGTCACATGCTTAGCTACAGCACCAGACATCTTCTTAAACTGGGGGTACGTCTCTATAAACGCCTGAAACAGAAAATTAACTGGGTTTACGTCTCTATAAACGCCTGAAACAGAAAATAAACTGGATCAAAACAGGAACATTTTTTTATATTCAACGGAAGTTCTGAAAACCTGACCATGCATGAGACAAAACAATGTGCTTTATCTGGCTTTGTGCAAACGAACTTGTACAACTGAAATCTAACAAAAACAAGTTGTAGTAAAATCAGATGCTAGGAAAATGAAAGCCCCAGTTGTATTATGTTTGTTTTGTCTCTATTCCATCATTTCCCCCCGTGTACTATAAAACTCCAGAAGTTATAAAACTATTCAGACAATGCCCAAACCGCCTCTGATAGGATACATTGCTTACCTTCATATCTGCTATAGATTCCACCTTGGCTTGACTTTTGGACTTTTTCTGGAATTCCTCCATCAAATCTTTTATGTTTGTTCCAATTTCTCCAAAGTTATTGTACATATTCTAGAAACAAAGACAGACCACTGAACACTTGTAGTTAAAGCCCCCAAATAATAACCTGTTAATGTTACTTCTGTCATCAGAAAGATTGATCAAATAAAACATAAAATCATACCTAAATGATCGTCATCTAGCTAGAAAAATCATCAATGGATTAAATCAGTAAATTATTTATAAGTATCTTTCCAGTTATGTAGATATTTTGTCTAACAAACAGCACATTACGATAAATGCTTCACTCTTTACAGAAAGTTGAAAGACACACACTTCATAAGTGGTTTATAACAGATAACTCGACAATTTAACTTGTGGTAGAAAAAAACAGAACAGTTTGACAATAACTGTTAAAGATAGAACTCAACTGACTGGCTTTAGCCCCTTAAGAGGTACCAGAGTCTCAATTTCCACAAATCTGCATCTACACATTTAGGTGATTATATTGATGAAATACAGAGCATTATAGGTCAAAATGGAATTTGAGAGAAGATTTTCAAAGCTGTTTATAATCCATGTGATTTCTTACATGGATGTATAACTCTTGGTTTTTAAGGTTCTGATTCAAACAAATATCTGAAGAAGAATTTTGAAATCATCTCAAAATAATCTCTTTAGGCAAAGTCTGATCGTGGGCTAAAAACTTACATTTGCATAAAACTCATCATGTTCAGCAGAGAGGACAACTTCCTGTAGGTCTTTGGTGACACCGGGTATGTGTGCAAGGTTGATACGGTTATTGTTGATCCCCAGTAACTCGTGTACCATAGCCTGGTATGTCCACTGGTCAACAGAAGTAGGACTGCTCTTTATAACTTAAGTTAGGGACTATGACATATAACAATCAATAGACTGTGTCTTCTCACAATGATCTTACTGGGACAATCATGTGAATTAATCTATAGATCCTTCCCTCGGTTCTGAACATGTCATTAAGAATCTTTTGAAAAACAATTCTTCATGAAATTCAACATCTGATTTGTAGTGTAGATATTCAAAAATCACAGAATCCAAATATTATCTACTTAGAGTATGCATCATCAGTGGTCTAAAATTACTGCAGCTCTGTATCGGTACATGGTAATCTAGTGAAGCTTCTGATCCTTAGGGATATCTTTCAGATGTTTTTTAAAATTTCAATTTCAACATGTGACTAATCTTTCTCCATAATCCATGAAGATCGTTTTAAAGAATTAATCAAAACAACACAAACAAAATTCTTACTTCATATCATCATCCCTTTTACATTCATCTATATCTAGATACATTTTGCGTGTACATACTAAAGTAAGAGAGTGACAGGATTATCTCCCATGTTGAGTGAGACGATATGTTTGTACATGATTAAGTAAGAGAGTGACAGGATTATCTCCCTGTTGCGTGAGACGATATGTGTGTACATGATTAAGTAAAGGAATGGCAGGATTGTTTCATCTGTCTAGTGACACATTGAAATATATGTGAAAGTGAGTGACAGGATTACCTTCCCTGTCCAGTGATACATTACGGTATGTGAGTACCTGATTAAGTAAAGGTGGGACAGGATTATCTCCCCTGTCAAGTGAAACATTATGGTATGTGTGTTCCTGATTAACTGGTAAGTAGAGTAGTGACGGGATTATCTCCCCTGTCCAGTGATACATTACAGTAAGTGTGTACCTGATTAAGTAAAGGTGGGACAGGATTATATCCCCTGTCCAGTGATATTTTACGGTATGTGTGTTCCTGATTCAGTTAAGGGGAAACTGGATTATCTCCCCTGTCCATTGATACATTTCGGTATGAGTCGAGGAGTGACAGGATTATCTCCCCTGTCAAGTAATACATTACATTATGTGTGTACCTGATTAAGTAAAGGCGTGACAGGATTATCTCTCCTGTCCAGTGAAACACTACGGTATGTGTGTAACTGATTAAGTAAAGGCGTGACAGGATTATCTCCCCTGTCAAGTAATACATTACATTATGTGTGTACCTGATTAAGTAAAGGCGTGACAGGATTTTCTCTCCTGTCTAGTAATACATTATGTTATGTGTGTACCTGATTAAGTAAAGGCGTGACAGGATTATCTCCCCTGTCCAGTAATACATTATGTTATGTGTGTACCTGATTAAGTAAAGACGTGACAGGATTATCTCCCCTGTCCAGTAATACATTTCATTATGTGTGTACCTGATTAAGTAAAGGTGTGACAGGATCGTCTCGTCTGTCAAGTACTAATAACACTGGAGCTACATCAGTCTTTCTGAACTCAAATAATGCTGCCTCCTTACTGATTGTACTCTGAGAATAGAAATATACGCCAATGATTAACATATTACTGGAAATATATTTCAAAGGTCAAGGTCCATATTTATATAATGAATATAACATATGTGAATTCATTGGAAGTTTTGTTTTTAGTTCAAATGTTTTTATGGGTAACATGGTAAAGTACTTGAGATGTTGTGATGTAATTATAGTCATAGTAGGACGAGGCTCTATGGGCATAGTAATGAACAAGTCATAGTAGGACGAGGCTCTATGGGCACAATAATGATCAAGGTATAGTAGGACGAGGCTCTATGGGCACAGTAATGAATAAGGCATAGTAGAACGAGGCTCTATGGGCACAGTAATGAACAAGTCATAGTAGGAAGAGTCTCTATGGGCACAGTAATGAACAAGGCATAGAAGGACGAGGCTCTATGGGCACAGTAATGAATAAGGCATAGTAGAACGAGGCTCTATGGGCACAGTAATGAACAAGGTATAGTAGGAAGAGGCTCTATGGGCACAGTATTGAACAAGGCATAGTAGGACGAGGCTCTATGGGCACAGTAATGAACAAGGTATAGTAGGATGAGGCTCTATGGGCACAGTAATGAACAAGGTATAATAGGACGAGGCTCTATGGGCACAGTAATGGACAAGGCATAGTATTAAGCTGGTCCATATCCTAAACAATCAAGCTCCAAATTAACCAGTCTTATTAAAATAAAGGTAGCCTGTGTCTACTCATTTTTATTATAACAGCAAGAAATCAAAGATGAAAAAGCTTACTCTGACATTCTCTGCCAGTCTGCGGGCCATTTCAGAGGAGTTCTGGTAGCGTATCATTGGACATTTCTTCAGGGATAACAACACAGCTGTTAATCCCTGGGTAGTCCTAGTGAGGGAGGAAGGCGACCAATTCAGGGCCTGAAAGTACATGTGCATGATACATGTGTGTTTTCATCAAATTCTATAAATCGTTTCAATATTTTACAAACTACTGTGAAAGAGAAATTTTCGCTGCAGTTTCTTTTTCTTCTTTAAGCGCCCTCTGTAACGAGGGCAAATTTATTATTACAGCAAACACTACTAAACAATTAAATAAAAGTAATTAACATCAGGCAATGTGGGTTATAACCAACATGGCAGAGAGCGATAGTATGACTGGGAGAAAATTCCCTGATATACAGCATTTCAAAATTTGTATATGGATGAATTTGAAATATATATTTACCTGACTACAGCCAAGAATATTCAGAGTAAATAAGTGTGGATTGACTGCTATGAAATCACCAAAAAATTCCTGAAACAAACAGAAATAAGTGTAATGGTCAACATGTCATACAGTAGCAATCTTTTCTGATTACTATAACCATATGTTTAGATTTTATACTGTTGGACTAATCATATCCTGGTTGTTTAGGTTTACATTTAACAGGGGGAGCTAGCTATACCATGTATACAGGTTTATGTGATCAAATCTCAAGCGTATTTCGGTCTATACAACATATGTTTAGTCATCTTAGTTTTGGGAATGTTAAACAAAAAGAAATGAGGCTGTACTTGTAACTACTTAGAACCTAATAGAAGATTAAAATCTTACTTAAAAGATAACTTATGGAAAACTGCAACATATATTATAAGGGTGTCATATTTCAGCTGTACTTACCTGTACTTCTCGTACAACTTCCTGGTCATCTGCCTCTGCTAACACCTTTACATCCTGTTTACTGATCACATTGCTGAAATCTGGGGAGGGAAGAAAAACAATCGACAGTTTTCTTTATAGCTCATCATCTTTACAGAAATACTGATGGAACTATGAAATATTTTGATGAGTCTTTTTTTTTAGTTGATATGACCATGCTTTTGCCAGTACTACCTTTCTTCATTGAAACTTTCCTTGGCAAAATCCTATGGTATATTCAGTGAATTGGTAAAATGTGCAAACTTTCAAAAAACAACAATCAGAGCAATTATAGTATATATATTATGTTCAAGGCATTTCTGGATCAATTAGGTACTAAATGTGATATATTTAGTGATTTTTAACCTAACTTTTACAACAGCCTGTTCCAACATGAATTGGGGAAATAGAACCTATTTGTTTTGGAAATCGGGAAGATAATCATGATTTTTTTCTTCTTTTTGGGAAAATAAAGCACTATTTTTGCCAGGGTAAGCAGACTGTATTAGGCTGTTAAACTCGGCCAAATAAATCCCTGATATTGTTTGTATAACATGGGAACAAGATGGAAATCTGTTTTTGTTATTTGAACAAGTGATTTAAATTTGATTTTCTTGGAATTGTAAATTAAACTGTGCAGAATCAAAGCTGTCTAAACATTCACAATATCACTTGAACTTACATATATAATAAAGGCCATATTTTGGCATCCTCAGTTCCTGTGCCAGCAGTTCTACATTGTCTCGGGTTGGTCTCAGGAAACATATACACTTCAGGTGTTTCATAGTTTCTCTGGCTGACGAATCTATCCTCTCAAATAGGTATACCTCCTTCTGTAGAATTTCTGACTGGGCATACACCATACTCACAATACTGGTCTGGAAAAAATAAAGTAGAAATATTAAAGAAAGGATATGATGGCTCCTTGTATATTTAAAACTCTATTATGGCCATGATGTTTTTTTAGATATTAGACCTGCAGGGTTAAGATTTGTTACAGAAAGTCCAGATATGATTGCCTAAAATGAAAATAGTTTTTTTTTATGAAGTTAAGATATGTTAGCAGTGAAATAATTTTACAGACTACTGATGTTAATTTTCCAATTTCTTTAATCTGATAGTAATCAAGCATTTTACCTAAAATTAAGGGTCTGTGCACATGGAGTTTAATTTCAATATATAACTGGAATTGTTCATTTAGCCAACAGTGGAATGCTTAACAAGTAATTAATTGTTAATTACAACAGTCACCAACACTGCGCATGCTGTCCTCATGAATTAGAATCACCTTAAGCTTCCAAACATATACGTTGCTTTCATATTACTATAGTATAATTACTCTTTATTTCAGTCTTTAATTGAATCCAATTGACCAGGGATCCTTTATAACATATTAGGTTTAAATCACCCAACCTGAGCTGAAAGGTTATTTTTTTCAAAATATTTGCATTATGTACCGTTCTTTCGAATTTTAGGCCATAGTCTACTACTATAACATAAAAGACCGCTAGTCGGCCTTTTTTTCTATCGGATATGATTTTGCCGACTGCGACACAGCGCCTGTCAAAAGCATCTCGCCATGTAAACTTCTAACACTGTTGGAGTAGGTCATAAGGCCTGTTTTTCTTCCCCTGGGGAATTACTTTACATCCCTAGGTTCTACAACATTTTGCCGCATTCATTCAGGGATCCTAAATATTGATTGGCAAATTATGTTAAAATCCCGTTACTCGTACATGAATTTAAGACGTTTCGATACCCCGTAGTTAAATAGGATATTACGGTTCCCTTTCGTAAGTAGTTCAAAATACTTTCATTTCTCAAATTTGGCTTTGCCCGTCCGTCTAAAGAAAGAGGAGCGTTCTTTGTTGTACACTTCTGAGTTCCCTTGTTTCTGGTATATCAAAATTATTTTGAGATAGCGAGTGTGGTCCGAAACTGACAACGAGTGTTTGACAGCCGAAGGTGACGTTTCACATCTAGAGTGTCTTATGCAGCGATGCTGTATCATGCTTACAGTCTCTTTGTCCATAAGTAGGACTTTCATTCCAGGCCCACTTTCGTCAATCATCTTACTGATGTACTGCTTCACGGCCAATATAACATTCATTTTGAGTGTTTACGTCTTCCACGACTGTTGACTGAAGAAAACGGAAGTACCGTTTCATCGCTTCCGGGTTAATTTTGCGAAATACAGCACGCAAAATAAAACGGAACGACACAAATAAAAAAATTATGACGTTGTCCATTTATCTTCATGCATGTAAAACGTTGATTAATTATATTATGTATTTTTTGTTATGTATATCACACAACTTAATTGTCAATAAATCTAGATTAAATGAACATACCGAACATCTTAACCGTAATTCGAACTGAAAAAGATAAAACTAGAGCAAATAATCAACAAAGGAAACACACGAAAACTATTAAAAAAGTACAATGAGATTTAAGACCGAGTGTTCCAGAAGGACAAGCGCTTCTTGCTTCATCGACAATACACGCCATGTAAATTTAAGCAAATCCAAGTAATGTCACGTCCTCAAAGCCAGATAAAGGGAATGTCAACGAAGCAACAATTAGGCAAGGTATAATGAGCATAATCATAAACATTGTGTGACACCCCTGATTGGACATGGGTGATCTCGGGAGTGTTTTCATCTGAACGGCGGTAAAATGCAAACGTCACCCTTGTGTACAAAAAGAAGAAGAAGATAAGTCCGTTATAACTAACTACATGTCTATATTCTATACTATATATAGTCGGTAAATTAATGGAAAAATGCGTCTATACGTATATCTATAATTTCCTACATAACCACTCCCTTTTGTCATCTAACCAGTCAGGATTCCGACATGGCGATTCACCCGTCAACCAGCTTCTTGCCATCATTCATGATGTACATTTTTTACTCTAGATAACGGTAAAGAAATAAGAATGGTTTTCTGTGATATAAGCAAAGCTTTCGACCGTGTTTGGCATAACGGTCGTCTTCATAAACTATTTTGTTTTGGCATTCGGGGTTCATTACTAATTTGGTTTGAAAATCATCTTTGTAATCGTAAACAGAGAGTTGTTATCAATGGAAAAAGTTCAAATTGGTCAAACGTTAAAGCTGGGGTTCCTCAAGGTTCCATATTGGGCCCCCTTTTGTTTCTTATTTTTATCAATGATATTGTAAAATACATTAATGCTACCATTTAGTTATTTGCAGATGACACTTCCTTGTACACCATCATCGATTCTCCAAGAATTAGTGCCGGAATTCTAAATAATGACTTAAATAAAAATTCATGACTTGTCCAAGAGATGGTCATCCTCGATATCCAGGGGTTTCGTTCACTTTCGCTCTCTACACCCCTGGAATATGTCATAGCAAGATTGAAGGTTCAGTGTGCATCACCTTGTTGATGAGACAAGAAGGCTAGTTCGATCCTTCGATGTACATCAAAAGAATCTCGCGGTCGCGAAACGGTAGAAAAATACATGCTTTGAAGTCGAGTGCCGGTCCTTTTGATTCTTCAAAGGACAGGTATCAGCGTAGCGGTTGGTCAGGTGTTTTTTTTACCTGAGACCAATCAAACAGCTATCTTCGTACCTTCAATTTTGCTATGACATATTCCAGGGGTGCAGAGAGCGAAAGTGAGCGTAACCCCTGGAAATCGAGGATAATTTCAGGGGTGCATAGATCGAAAGTGAGCGTAACCCCTGGATACCGAGGATGAGAGATGGTTGATAAATTGTAATCCTGAAAACAGAAACCGTACTGATAAGTAGGAAAACTATTACCCGTCATCCTCCTCCTCTAAGCATGAATAATATAGCCATTACTGAAGTTAAGTCACATACACATCTTGGTTTACTTCTGTCTGGAAATGGCTGTTGGATCGAACACATTAACTATTTAAAATCAAAGATATCACGAAAATTAATATTTTACAGAAATTTAAGTTTACCTTAGATCGCAGGTGTCTTCAAACTTTGCAGTTCACTCTTATTCGGCCCATATTGAAGTATGGAGATATTATTTGGGACTGTCCGACTGATTAGAAGACCTCCAACTGGAAGTAGCACGTACGTGTAGAAATTGGTGGTACTCGGCTCACTAGTAGAGTTAAACTTTACCTTGAAACGGGCTTGCTTCCTCTCGAGCAAATGCGTAAACATCACAAGGTAATCCACTTTCATAAAATGGTCCATGGTCTCGTCCCGAAATACCTAGAAGAAATTCTCCCTCGGCGTAACGACTACAATACCCGTGAAGGCAACGTTTTTCGTCCTATCTGATGTCGTACTAGTCTATACAGGAATTCTTTCATTTCAACAAATGTTATTGCAAAAAATATGCAAAGGGATAGGGCATCAGGCAAAGTCTATATAAGCCTTCTCCTTACAACTTCGGTATGGTATATGTACAGTCATTGAAATCATTAAGAAAACATAAACAATTCATATAGTGTGTCTCCATGTCCCTACCAAGTCCGAATTATTCTGACGTTTTATTGACTTTTTTATATCAGTCTGTCGTCGATTAACGTCATTAATCGACGACAGACCGATATAAAAAAGTTGATAAAACGTCAGAATAATTCGGGACTAGTCCCCACCGTACAAGGTATAGTTATGATTAAACAAATCTTTTAGTGTTGATAATGTACTCTGATATACATTGTAGTACAAATGCATTGGTTTCGGTCATGGGTTATATTTTGGTTAATCAGCTGATTTCTAAGTGTCAATCGAGAATGGTTGAATAGCTGATAGAGGACAGATAAAAAAAATGTTCCGCAGTTTCTTCACCAAGGTTGCATGTGCATATTGGAGAATCTTTTAAATAGTCAAGAAAAAGGTCAGAGTTCAAATTGCTGGCTTCATTTCTAAGTTGACACATACTTTTATTTGTATTTCGACTGCCATCATTTGCAAACGTTTTTGTTGTAGCAGAGACAGTTACATTATTTTTGAAGAGTAGAGCTTTAAATTGTGATAGAGAGTTTACATTGGATAAATCAAAATTGAGAGCGAATGAGTTGAATTCCCTAAATCTACTTGGGGAAAAAAGCTAGTAGAATACTGTAGCTTACTGTTCTACATATTGGAGTGTTGAAATATCTAGTCGTCCTTAATGGATTTCTTTCATTAATTTTTCAATGTGATATATAAACGGTTGCACTATATCTTTAAGATGTTGCGGGGCCATGCCATGAAGTATCTTAAACATTAATATTAATTTATGTTTTTGTCGTCTATCTGAGAGAGATTCCCAGACAAGTTCTTTGTATAATTTATGATGAGAGGTACCTCTGCGCAATCCTGATATGACTCTAGCAGCTTCTAAATGAACAGACTCAAGCAGTTGTTTAGATTGTTCCGTGAAATTGTCCCACAAGACGTCTGCATAATCCAATATAGGCAAAATATATGTTTTATATATCTTAAAAAGAGTTTTTCTTGAGACTCGTTTTTTAAGTGATTTTAATATATTTACCCTTTTAAACGCCTTTTCATACATATAATTTACATGGGGAATCCATTTACCATCTTCAGATAAAATAACACCTAGATGTTTGTGAGTAGGGATTGAACTGGGCTATTGTTGAACTGGGCTATTGTTGAACTGGGCTAATGTTAAAATATATATCTGGATGTTGCGTGTCTCTTTTCCTAGTAAATATCATTGATACAGTTTTTGAAGGGTTGAAATAAATATCCAACTTTTTACCCCAAGTACTAATATTTGAAAGATTTCCTGAACTTTTACTAGCTATTTCAATATTGTTATTTTCAATTATTTTACTTAAGGATGCTTCATCAGCAAACAATTTTATGCCACTAGTTTCAATATCGGCTATATCATTAATATACAAAAGAAATAAAAAGGGACCTAAAACAGATCCCTGTGGAACTCCAGCGTTTACAGATTGATAAGTTGAGAAAATACCCTCGGTTAAAAGACGTTGTTTTCTTTCTGACAAGTAATTTTTAAACCAACTTAGCAAGTTTCCTTTAATACCATAGGAGTCTAGTTTGTATAATAACCCTTCATGCCACACTCTATCGAAGGCTTTACTTATGTCACAGAATACAGAGTGGATTTCTCGTCCTTTATCAAGGGAATCCATAATCGTATGATATATCAAAAGAAGTTGATTCACAGTTGAATCTCCTGGAATAAAACCTTACTAGTTCTTAGTAATGATTTCACATTCTCGCAAATAGTTATATAGATATTCAAAAATTACTTTTTCTATTACAATATTTTGCTAAAGCAAGAGGTATCTGAAATAGGACGATAACTAGAAACATCATTTTTCTCACCGTTGCATTTATAAATACATTAATGTTTGCAGCTTTCCAAGACAATGGGATTGAGCCAGTTTCCATGATTTTATTACAAAGAAGGGTAAGAGGAAAGTTTTTCCTGCCTTCCGTAATTGATCGTTGGAACTACTTGCCAGACTCAATAAAAGGTGACCCCTCCACATCTAGATTAAAAAATTACCTGTATGAACCATCCCACAAAGTCCCACCTTTCTACTTTATCGGTAGAAGGCTGGGTCAGATTCACCAAGCTAGACATAGAATGGAGTGCAGTTCCCTAACATTTTACTTGTATCGTAGAAAATTTATTAACAGTCCCTTACAAACGAACATTATTTGCTACAATGCCGCATTTGTTCACAACACCGTGTCGTCACTGAGACAATTTCAAGTATATTACTGCTGTTTAACGATGACGAGTTGTCAGATGAAGAAAATGCATTAATTTCCTCCTGTACTTAAAATTCTATTATCAGTTCTCGGAGATTTGAATGAGTTTTTCTTCTTTTTCAATATATACCTGTCGTTTACATTGGCGTTCATGATGTGCTTAACGGGTTACAATCAATTAATACAGGGTTAATCTGAGCAATTATTTTCCACCTTTTTCCTATCATATCATCCCCTATTTCCCGTTTTTACTCATACTATACTCATCGCATTGCTGCATATTTCGTTCTCAAATATCATAGTCATAAAACGCGTGGTCCTCAAATCTTCCGTGTAATGTTCCTAATGGAGTCTTCAACTTAATATTGTGTTCGGGTGGGCTGTTGTAGTCTATAGTGGTAGGACGCCGCGCTCATGACCGAAGGGTGGCGAGTTCGAGTCACGGCACGG